CTTACTCTGTTTTTGCTGGAAGCCGCCTTTGCAACATTTTGCAATACCTTACAGTTTCCAAAACTTTTATTCAGACGCTCTTGTTCCTTGCAAGAAAACTGCAGGCGGTTCTACAACACTACACTCCTTCGTTACGTTTGTGCCCTTTTGCCTCACATTCAAGTGGAATCCTCATATGTTCATGTAACCTGGTCGTCCTGCAAGAAAATTGCACTCAGTACTGTGCTGCACCCCGTGCTCCCTCCAGAACTATACACAGATGTGAGGTTGGGCAATTCCTGGTGAGACACATACATACTTTACTGCTCAGGGTGGAGTTTGAGGTTGAGATGAGGACAATGATATCGAGAGAATTCGTGCAGTGGTTCTTCCACTGCTACCCCCGCCTGACACGACTTGGGTTTCAAACGCCCCGCTGGGTATCTCGCCTTTTCCCCTCAGTCTGTCTTCGTGTTCAGCATTAGCTGATTTTAAATGCGATTATAATTCGCCCATCTGCAGTGCCCATGCTGAGTTGTCATTCCTCCCACTGACCCCTACGGACTTAGCTCTTTCATTCTGCTACATACATTCCTTCCCATTCCCACGGTCACTCACGACGCAGTTATCTTTCCACATCTATTCATGCCTACTCAACATTGGTGCCAAGATTGCGGTCTTAAGGACCTTGGACACACGTTTGCGATGTTAGTTCCCTTTCATTTCGACACGGCAGGCTCGGTCACACGAGGCGTTCGGCTTCATCCGAGTGATGGGTAAAAGCGTATGACTAAACCGCCTTCCCACTAGTACAGAAAGCTCTCATCCTTAGCATCGCCCAGGTAGCATCTTTGCCCTTAAGGAGGACACACGGGTATTGTACCCACGGTTATTTTCTGGTTGGGATCCCATGCGGTCTTCGCCGAGCACGCAATGTTTCGCAACAGCCTTTAGGGGAAACGTGTGACGACCGCACCCAGTCGTACCTCCCACAACGTCTTGCATGTACCACTCCTTCTAGAAGAGAGCCATCCGGACTGGTAATGCCAGCTTCAATTAGCAAAGAGCATATCAGCAGCGCACAGGAAATACGTCGTTGTCATGTAGCCCTGAGTGGCTCTGTATCTTAAGTATCGGCCTCCAGGGGCGCAGCCACAGCCTTGGCAAGGGGGAGGAGGCACAGGGTGGACAAATGGCTTCCTGATAGTTTTACTATTAGGGAGCCATTTGTCCCCCCCACATCGCCGGATATGGTTCATTTGTTAATAAGGACATGCTTTTTTAGAATTTAAATGCATATTTCTTGTATATATGAATATATATATATATATATATATATATATATATATCATGTAGACGCTACCGAAATGTTAATTCTGCCTCAAGTTAAACAAACATTAAACAAGCTGAGAAGTCGTGCGTTAAATGACTACTTAGAATAACTCACCAGCGCTCCTCATTTTATAATGATCCAGCGGACTCATTCAAACTCAGAACTCACAGGCTGTGATAATTCTTATCTGGGCTATACAGAGATAGCAAGGACTTGGGCGAATGTAGGTTGAAGATCAAAATGGGTCAATAATTTGTATTAGCATGGTCGAGTCATATTTGTCTGAATATGCTCAACATTCAGTCAGAATCGATTAGTGATGCAAATCATGAACGTAGTTATGAGCATGCATTCTTGCATAGCTTAGCAACAAAAACCCCGACGACAGGCGTTGCAGTCTCCTCAGCCCGTTTTGGGCCCGCGGCGAACATTAGGCTGTGGCCAAAGGGTATGCAAAATGATGACGCATTTGAAATAAGTACCTTTGAACGCTTTTGAACACCACATCATACGAAGCCCGGGCGTATATTTCACCCGTGCGGTTTTTAGATTGATGACAATAACGTATTGGTCTTTACAGCACCGTGAAGTGGTGCTGGAACCTGGTTTTGGAACTGGAAGAACAAACGTACAATCTTTATTTTACACGCTGCTGTAATTGTTAATATGCCCAGAAGACGACCTCAAAGTTGTAAAGAAGATTTTCCCAGTGCTATCTTTGAACTGCACCAATTAATTTTGAAAGACATTCAGAAACACGATTTTACGACGGCCATTATTGCGCGCGCGGCACCCGCCGCCTGGCGTTACTTGCAGTGGCCAACGCCGGTCGGTTTTACGAAAACTGCATCTCATGCCATCGCTGTCCTTGCTCCCCGAGATTACGGGTGTCATAGGAGCCTTATGACACACTCAGCTGCTGGGGCTATATGGCGTCACCAGCCTCTCTCCCTGGCGGAACGGGCGGGCGTCGCGGCGAATTTAGCACCGTACCTGTCACTTCCCAACGTGCAGTGGTTAACGCAGGCGCGTTAACCACTACACTGTCGGCATCCGGCGCGCATGCTCAAATCTTTGGATGCTATTTGTTTTACTAGTCGATTCTGCAAAATAATGAACGCTCTCAGCGAAACATGGGATGGCTCTGTGTGTTTTGAGCTTATTTCGACCCACTCCATTCAAGACGAATGAGAACGCTTATTTCTTTCCGGCCAAGGGGCACCCTTGAGTGCAACACTACGGAGTACATTGTTATTCCCGGTCAAGAACCGAAGGGCCGTTCTGTCCCTAATGCAGTGTGTTTTCCGACCGTCATTCTGGCGTCAAGGGCGGCATTCCCTGGCCGATCCGCAAGCCCTTAAAGGGACTCGTCATATATCATCGATCCGCTCCCTCATGCGGGAAGCCTTCTGACCCGCGCAATTGACCCCGGATCGACGCACAAACCATCATTACCACAACAACATCCCTGCTCGCCGCAGGCGGCCAAATAATTTACATATGTAGCTCCAGTTGGGCTTGACTGGCCCATGCTGGAATAGGATTACAGGGCCCACCGTTCGGTGCTGGGGCCCCTGACTGGCACAGGACTCTTCTATTGCCTCCGCATGGGCACTCATCGATTCTTATTGATTCACTAAGTTCTTATGATTCCTTAAACTGTCAGAGGGTTCCTACCAACGCAAGACACCCTCTGTTATTCGGACTCCCGCCCCTCCCCCCTCCCTGTTGAACAAATCTTCCCCTGACCTATTCGAGGTCCCTTGTTGACACAGAATGCGCTGCTAGGCACTGTGGGCCTCTAAATGATACAGGAGCCCGACCAATGTAAATCGCGGACTCGGCCTTGTCTCTGGGAAGTGTGCCTCCGCAGCTCACACCAACAGATTGATGCCTAGCGTAGTACGCCCCTTATTCAAATGTACATATCAAAATAATTTTGCGGGATTTTGGTCGACCATGATCTTCTTAAGGTCAAACACGATCACTATACTTAAATTAATACCAGTGGCTCGCTTACTCAGAACAAACATCTTGGTTCAGGGCACTTGTATAAGTAGGTCTGTGGGCACTTGAGACACCAATCTAAAGGTGATGTTTCTAACCTTATTGAACCCAAAGATCATAACCAAGGAACCTCAGATTTCGACACAAGTGAATTAACATACAGGCCCACCCACCCTATGAGCTTGGTGTTTCTAGCTCCCTTGATTGTTGAGAGCTCAGGCTTGTCGAACTGACCTCCATCCTATGAGGGGTAGAAACTGGCCACCCGTGACGTACGTATTAATCGTCGGTCCCGAGGGGCCCCTCGGGCTCATCGGGCCTCCATGCAGGACCGCAGGGCATCCACCTACTGTGCCCCTTCCACTGCCTGCACCAAAGGGTTTGACTTGCTGAGGCGCTTGAGTCCAATTTGCACAATTCTATACGCGTTGATATGCTCTCAGTCGCTCGGGCAGTACCTGATGCGTTATCATATTACCTGATACATTATCACTACTGTACCTGCTACATTATTATTACTTCACCAGCACCTCCAGGCACCGTAACAACGCGTCCTGCCGCGTTCACGTTTTCCAGCGCTATGTCTCATGCAGAGGGTAGCATACAAAGGAACTGTGTTATAGTTATCCGCGTGTTTTGCAGAAATGATGTCCTGCCACGCTACTCCGTTGGATTATTCTGCGTATCACATTCACACATGTCACGACGTACATTCGCATTGAAGCCCTTGTGACCTGTCTTTGCGTTGCGCGGGTGAAACCCTCAGCTGAACGTGCGCACATTCAGCCGTCACTCTCAATCAACAGGCGACATATTTACATCATGTATTTGTCGTCGCCGTCCGACTCCAGCGTTCGAGAGCACGCTGCAGAAACTAGGATATAAAATGGTAAGAATTAGTATATATTTTACAGTAGAGAGTGTACATGATGTACATCAATACAAAGTTGGGCGCGCCAAGTGCCGCGCCTCGTCGCCGCCGGCCACCGTGACGACCGCAGCGCCGCGTCCGACCCGACGGTGGCGCCACCTGCGGCGGGCGCCGCTGCCCGCCGGCCGTGCCCCTTTTGATTGGTCGAGTCGTCGGCGCGGTCTGCACGCGCCCCCAGCGGCGGCGCGGCGCAGGTGGCCGCCGCCGGCGAGCGGGGCAGGGCCGGGCGGGCGCCGGGGGAGAGCAGCGCCCGTCGGGCCGCCGGCGCCGGCGGCGGCCACCCCAACCGCTGTCAACGGGCCGCGGGGCCTCCCCGCCGGACCCCGCGCGGGGCGACCCCGCCTCCCTGCCACGCTGCCACGGCCGGCCGCCCGCCGTGAGCGGCCAACTGGCCGCGCGCACGGCAATAGCGACCTACAACTCAGACAGAAGGGAGCATACAAAAATCAACCAACTCAACGGCCGAGCACAAGTGGGAATATATCTGTATATATATATATATATATATATATATATATATATATATATATATATATATATATATATATATATATATATATATATATATGATATAATAGGTAGGTGTGAGTTTGAGCGCGTCCGCGGTACTTCTTTAAAGCTATGACCTGGGCGTGTCGGTGGGCGTGCTGGGCCGGGTCGGGCTGGGTGGGGGCGCGGGCGCGCGCGCGCGGCCGCTCGCCATCTGTCGAGCGAACGGCCACCATCACAGAGGCGCTATGGTGTGCTGCCTTAGCTGAAGGCCGGCTCGGAAGCCTTCGGCGCCGGCGCTGGAACACTGACCAGCGAGCTGGTGGCGAACAGTTTGTACCAGCCTATCGCGATATTGGACAGGTCCAGGTCATCCAGCATGATCTGTGCCACGCCCATGAAGATCTTCTTACCCTCCATGCGTCCGTAATCGCCCCACACGGTCACCTGCGGACAAAAGTTAACGATCGCGAGCCTGTGGTAATTTCGACCGAAGAAGACATTTGAGACTTTGGGCGGCACCTTTTCACGCCCGAATTTGTTGTGCGCGTCTCATCCTGATGAATGTAATCTGATAATTGTTCTAAATAACGGCTGAAACAGTGAAAGTTTACAAATTTCGTGTAATGCTGGGATTCAATGAACAGATCACTGCATCTTTTGGAATACCTGTCACACCTTTCTCACCGTTTACGTATTAACCTAGATGTAGCAGCCACAAGGGAATGCGCACCGCACATCACACGCACACATCAGGATGTGGCGGCCACAAGTACAGCATGAATACGCTTTGTGATACTAAATGTCGCACGCATTTATGGTGTGGTACACATATCGTGATTTATAGTGCACCCACAGCACGTCCTTTGGTGTATCAGCATACATCTTGCTCTGAAATTCCCTCACTGGCATTGTTCCGACCAAGATGATAGTGGGTCGGAAGCAATACCAATGACAGAACGCATAACAGTTGTTCTTGCCACATTACATGCAGTCACGCCACCTCTTCGGCCACGCCACTCACTGTCACGTGATGCTCACCACCCATAATTAGGCCAACTTACACGGAGCATATGCGAAAGACCATGGCCTCCTATGCCTGCCTATGACGTGGCAGTTCGTTTTGTTAACTAGGCCGCTGGTGACTTTAGTTGTGACCCGTCTGGATGTACCCCGACCCTGCTTGTACGGTGTTCCTATATTACCCGGGACCGCCTGTTGTGCTCCAAACGACGTGGCATGTTGCGTAAGGCCGAGAAGGCGTCAAAGGTATAAGTCAAGGGCTTTGGAACGGCATGGGATGTGAAAACTGGCCGCGCAGTGAGCCGGCCTGCTTCTCGGGAGCGTATTTTGGAACAGACGCCCACAGGAGAGTCGTCTGACTGCTGGACTGTAACAGTCGGCTGACAGTAGTCATCACCCGACTGCTACGATCCCGAGCAACGCGGCCACTCTCGCCGCTGAGTTATGAAGCCTCCCGCGGTGGGAATTGAGCCCAGGCCTCCCGTCTGCAAGTCAGCTGGCCCATGCAATGTGAGTGGCGCGGGAAGGGAACGGATACGGTATGTTACTTGGTATGGTACATGGTACGCACCTGCAGCACGCATCCCGTGTACTTCTCGGTGAAGACCAGAGTCTGCTGGTAGAGCGGGTCCAGCGTCCGGCGCGCCGTCGTCGTTTTGGCCTTGGACAAACACCTTTTGCCGTCCACCAGGTACACCTTTACGTAAGGAGCTGAGAAAAACGACACCAGCTCAATGTGAGCCTTCACGCTGTACAACCGTAATGGGCTATGGCGATGATATCATTTACATGATTGTAACACTGACGAATTGTACCTTATGAAGCAGTCTTTTTCCCACACACGCAAACCTATTCCTCAAACCTATTCGTCGACTGATAGTCCGGCAGACAGCAGCAGCCCAGATGGCTTGGCAATTGTTCCCATGCATTGCCATGGCTTGGACCCACTTAATTAGGACCGCTTGCTTACTACACAAAAGAGGAGGTTCTCGGTCAGAGGACACAGCATGACGTAAAAAGAACTTAGCTCATGGAACAGGCTAAAAATGTAAAACAGGAATTTTATTATTTTAGGAGCAATGCTGAAGACAATATTGGACAAATTTTTCACATTAATATTGCATAAAAGTCATAAGTTTTTGAAGAACGCCTTTAAAGTCGTTCATGGAGTATCGCCTGCACACATCAGCACGCGGCCCTTGTAAGAAGATTCACACCTTTTCGGAACGCAGTCGTGAGGGGCGAAGTATCGGCTTTGGTTGGATGTTTTTTTCTTCGAAGTATCGGCTTTGGTTGGAAGTGACTTTGAAATATCCTCCCCGAAAAAATGCCCATTTCCCGGGTGTATAGGTAAACAACTAGAAGGGCTTTGGTCTAAAGAAGGATGTGATTATGAACAGCGCCCAAAGGTCTTCAAGATGGCTCTTTCAGCTCAAAACCCCATATGAATGTGAAACACTCCCTTTAAGTGCATCGCCCGGTGGCAGACGCACTCCAAACTACTGTTCCCAAACATCCCACAATTCCTGGCCGACGTGCTCCAAACTACTGTTTCCCAACATCCCACAATTCCTGGCCGACGCGCTCCAAACTACTGTTCCCAAATATCGCACAATTCCTGGCCGACGTGCTCCAAACTACTGTTCCCAAACATCCCACAATCCTGTTTCCTACCCTGCATCCTTGCATCCCAGCCCGTATCATTGGTCTGTATCACATGCATCATATCCTACGTCTATATCCCATATAGGTATGGTCGCCTGTTCACCGCGGTAGTGCGAGAGCAACAGCTTATTTGAGGACTGGTAATTCCCAAATAAAAGGCCTGCATTTTCTTGGTATTTCAAGTTATCTCCTTCCTTTGCAGCTCTTTTCTTCACATTTATGGAGTTGGGTTGGTGTCTGTCAAGTCAGGGTGTCTCAACTAAAATATCCGCTCTGAACAAATTACACCCTTCGCGATTTTGAGAGCTCTGGCCGAGGCCGTGAACCCTCTTTTCGTTACAGCTGCTTTGTAATCTACCCCACCGCTCCGACCGCGTCTTCGCGGGTCAACCTAGGTCTCTTTTCATTGCTCATCACGCACACCTTTCGGCATGCAATATAAGTGCCTCATCGTAACCACAAGTAGTTCTAAGCGTCAGATAGTTCACCTGGAAGAATTCGGGAGCCCGGCTTGGACTGCAGGCCTCGGGCGCGGATCACCTCCACCTCCAGGTTGCCCTTGCGGTCGCACATGGAGAGCTGGATGTCGCCCAGCGACGGGCTGGCCAGCATTTGGCGGCCGACCAGCTGACCTGCGGACGGACGGGAGGTGTGTCAGGCCAGCTGAGTGCTCGAGCATTGGCACACCGTGAGGTCAGACGAGCCCAGCCGCAGCTGCCATCTGTTGGGAGCCGCTGCAGCTGCCACCTGGTGATAGCCGCCGTAGAAGAGCCGCCCGGCGCTCTGCTGCACGCCGTGACGCGCCGCCGTAGGCGTCATGGTCGGAACTGCATGGTTTCAGGGAGGATATCCGGCGCGTAAGCGCAATTAATTCCTGTCATTAGCGCGGAACAAATCAGCCCATGCAAAACGGGTTATTAGCCCTGTTCTCGACCAGGTAGAGTGAAAATTGTGCTATGTTGAGAGAGGGGGACGTGACCCTTTGTTTTGGGGAATTTCTTTCCAGTCAACATCCATAAGGTAAGCATCAACTTTCTTTCCGGTCAACTTCCGTATTGCTCTATTTTCAAAGAGTTGGGAGGCTAATCCGCTGCTCAGCTTCGTCAGTCTCCAACCCATGTACCGGACATGGTGTTGCTGTAACAGCGTAGCTTAAAAGTACGATAGTAAAACACACACAGACTATTACACAGTACATTCTTTGAATGTACTACTTGTTTTGTAAACTGAGTTGATTTCTGTAACAAACTCAGTTTTGTGGAAAAGGAATGTACACTCCTTTCAAGAGTATCACCTCTAAATCGCAACAGCTGGCGACTGCAGAATCTGCCGTGGATTCTGCTGCCACTCCCAAATGTGTGACTGGGCCCTTTGCGCAGGATTTCTCTTCAGACTTACGGTTCAGTGAAACAGGCGGTTCAATGTGTACAAATCCTGGAAGTGTTTGGAAAAAGAGCTTTATAAAAAGTCATCTAAGGAAGGGAATTCCATGATTGCTCACTTTGCTCTCTATGGAGCCCAGGCGAATTACACCACACCGTTTGAAAGTATCCAATGTCGTGCTTAAACGTGATGCATGCCAGTCGTGTAATCCAGGAATCTCCGACGAAATATCGAGTTTGGTGGTACGGGCACGTTAGATATACTTGTGGCCACATCAGGTCAGCCAGCCAACAATGCTTATCGACATTTTTCGAATACAGCGAGAATGGTTCCTTTGAGAAGCCCATTGTACTACAAAAAGAGGAAGAAAATAGCTGACGCCATGAACTGCCTCGTCTCACGGGTCAATGCATCACAATGCGTTCAGAGCTGGTAGATGGCATCCAAACTCGCGAACAGTTTTGGAGCGGATCGGCCTAATGTAAGCCGCTTATTTCACCCGCCTGCACGCATGCATATAATTTCATCTGGCAGTGGTCGATACATTCTGAAGCGTGTGTGGCTGAACACAGGGCACACGTGTGTCAGCGGGTGGTCAGAGCGCGGCTGAGAAGCCCCTGCGTCGGCCCGCTCACCGCTGCGATGGCTACTCACCAGGTCCGAGGCCCTCTATGAAGTCGGCTATATGCCCCTCGGGCACCCGCATGCCCGGCACCAGGCTGGAATGGAGCAGCACAAAGGTCAGACAAGCCGCACCGGAAAGGTCAGGACAGTGACACCGGTCGGACGGCGCGCCGATCAATGTGTCACCCACAGCTGGGCAGGCAGCGGGCGTCCTGGGGACGGCAGCCGTTCCGCTCGGCCCGCAGTGGCTAGCCCACTGACAACGGCCCTGCCCGTTACGCCGTGCTGATCGTGTTGTTCATCGACGAAGGTGTGGATTACGGGGAGTGAAAGTTAGCGAAATGGGCTTCCATTGCAGTCTTCCCTTCACATCTGGTGTTTATATCATCCGACAACGCTTCACAGTGCGACTCAGGCATTGGCTAAGTGAAGCTTTGAAAACGGTGGACGGCTAGGCTAACAATAGCTCGCATATACGCATCACAGTAAAAGCATGTTACACGGACACGTACAACGTCTGGGCCACCTTTACAGAGCGTTCCTTCAACTGCCCAATCGACATGCAAGTATTTGGGGTGAAATGAGTTCGAGGCAAGCAGGTTTTCGCAATATTTCCTGGGATATCAACACACATAAACATCGTTTAGGGCCAAATCAGGAAGCTGGAACTGCCATATGACGTCAGCGCCATCAACTGCTAATGGGATGGTGTAAGCTTTATACGCAAACGACGTACAAGGCGGTGGGCCCGTAAAGGCCACGAAAGTATGGCATGCTCTTGTGCTATGCAATATTACCAACTTACCGTGTTCCGTAGGCTCTGATGGTAAACAGTGGCCAACAGGAACGTGTCCTGCTTCTCTTAAAGATATCGTCTGGGTATGTACGTATTCACTTTAATTTGTCAGTTACCTTGAAAACTGTAATCGCTACGCTAAGTACTTACCGCCAAAGACGTTAAATCGGAGACGAAGAGTGGGTAAGGTGGGCAAGCAGGCCATGGCCTTCTCGCCCACAAAACTTTGATATCAAACTCATGTCGAGGCCACGGGCGTCGATTCGTATCAGTTTCTGAGGGCCCTGCTTCTAATGTTAAGTTGGTTCCCCTCCCACTGCTGTCTTGGTCCCGAATATTTTTGGTTGGATAATACAAAAAGTAGGAAAATTGACCATCACGCAGACTATCTTCCTAGGACGTTGTCTGCTGGCCGTGACTACAGAGATTAAGCAATGTCGATGGCTGCGACCCTTCTCAGAACGGGCGTCAATTTCGATCAAAGAACCACCAGCACTCTACAAAATATCAGATTCTGCTCAGATTTTGGTCACAGCATTTTATGAAATGGCAGAAAACATCACAATATATACGCACTTGGCTACTAAGGCTACACCAAAGAGATAATCACTGCATAACGCAAGCTCTGGCTCACATAAAGTGTGTTAGGTTGGCTAGGGTGGTTGGCACTGCAAGACCGCCATGACATCAGAACTTCCAGCACAATTATACTTGGGATAACGCAAGCTTTTGTTCTGTTGCTTTCGATCACCCGCGCACAACAATTTCAAGAAGTGCACATTTAACTCAGGCATAGGAACGCAGCCGGCTTTGTCATCCTAAAGCTTTAGCTTTCCGAAGCCACGGCTTTTCTCAAATGACTTCGGGTTCGGCCTCGGCTTTAGGCCATTTTTCACGACTGGTTCGGCCTTGGCTTCGGCTTCGTGGCCTTCGAAACGGCTGGCGCCGGTTTTACCTTCGTGTTATTTTTTAAAACGGATTTTGCGCTGTATTTAGGCGCTACACACTTCTTTAGAATTATCACTCCGAATCATTTGAGTTAGGTCTTGGCCTTAGCCATTTTGAGCCGCTGCCCTCGGCTCTCTCATGGTAATTTTTCATGTTGTTGCAACTTATCTTCATAAAAATAGTCTTGCCTGTCCTTTCAGCCCAATGTACCACACAACTCCTCGATGCTGCGACGCATATGTGGTTTGAAGCCAAAACCTGCAAGTCATTCTTGGGGCCATCTGACGAGGATTGGACAGTGAAATCCAAAGCGTTGTGCACCTAAACACCAACCCATAAGACGAGCACAACAGTCCAAAACACCTCACGTCCGTAATGTCTACAATCCGTTTCAATCATTTAGGTATTTTGACTTCACGTGTCCATAATTCAAAGCCGCTGACTTACTGACTGAGAGTTCTAAGTCTTAAAAAGGCATCACTGTGAACTGCACTGAATCTTCTTCAAAGTGTTTATCTCAGTTACAAATCCACACAAATGTTATATACCCCTCGAATTTTAAGTGGCTATCTCGAAAACGGGTCGATAATTTTCGATTTCTCTGCTTGCAAGTGTTAGCCAAGACCGTCATGAACGGGACTTCGCACCGCGACTTCATAGTGGCAAAAGATGATGCAAGTGAAGCATGCTTGACGTGCTTTGCTCGTGGGTTAAACAAATACGGAGCATGTGGAGTTGGTTCCCACGTGTCAGTTGCCGTGCGTGTGCGCACACGATGTAGGTAGGTGACACATCTGACCCAAACTGGCTCAAACCGCCCTCAGTGCGCCCATCAGGGATGGTATATTTCTATCATGCTAGGAACAGACTGAAATGAGCCTTTTTCGTAACACATTAAACATATTGCAGGGTCCCAAACGGTGGTGGTATCCAGCACAAGTTTTCTGGCGGGCAGGCGTAAGCCCACCGTCCGGTTATCGTGGCATTGGAACTAGCAAGTACATAATCTGATGGGTTTTACAAAAACAATGGAAAAACTTAAAAATTGTGGCCTTTTGCATCCCAAGGAATAAAGATAATTACAAAATTGTAAGTATGCCTTTACCTTCGACCCTGGCAATGAGGTAAAACCGATGCTATAATAAGATACCACCGCTGGATGGTACGCCCGATGGGTAGTGCAATATACGGACGCCGATGCCATGGGGACCATATGGTTAATGCGGTAGCTTATTGGGCCAATGTATGGCCTGAATCAAAGCCAAAACGTTGCGGAAATATTACATCGTAGAGAGGAAGTTTCTGAAAAGGCATACACAATACTCAGAAAGAGATGTTGCAACTTTCTTCTCGCTTTACACCAAAACTACGTCAGGGGTAGGCCCATTTGCTTTAAATTGAGTGCAGAGTTGAAGACAAGACGTTAGGATTTCCTAAGAGAGCAGACCTCGACACGATGCATTTATTGCCAGGCGACAGATGTCCAGGTTATTGGTGTATGTACAGGAACCATTGGCGTGGGCTGACCAGCGGAAGCCAAGGACCGGCAAGAGAGCACACCAGAGACCGGGCCGGATGTCCGTGATGCAGAGCAGTGCAGAGACGCGTCGAGTGAAGAAGGCAGATAGTAAGACAGTGAGGGAAGGGGCGACGGTCACAGCGCGGCCGACCCGCGGGCCTGACTCACCTGCCGCCATCGCTACTGGCCGAGTTGCTGGCGTCCGAGTCACGTGATCTCTGCCTGACCAGACGTCCGCCGGGCGCCGCCGCCGCGCCCGGCGCCGGCACCACCTCGTGCGACCTCTGAATGCCACTAGCGCTACGCTTTCTACTCACATCGGCTGCAAAATACAGATGCCATGCATCAAAAAGCGCCGAGCCGCGCCGGTCGGCGGGCGGTCGGGCGGCGCGCTACCTACGACCGCACGACGGACGGACAGGCAGCGCGCGCGGCGCTGCCCACGCAGAGAGCCATGAGAGTGACTACCGGGTCGAAGTCGCACTGCTGACGTCCGACCTGTCCGAGAGCTCCTCCAGCTCGCCGTCCGAGCTCTGCGAGCTCAGCTGCTTGTTCACCAGGTGCACCACCTCCTCGCTGCGGTGCACCGTGAACGAGTTCTTGCCGCGCGAGCCGAACTTTAGCCGCTTCTTGCGCCCTGGGCGGAGTGGCGGGTCAGAGGGTGACGGCGGCCGGCCGGCGGGTGAGTCCGTGTCGTCAGTCCAGTACGCAGGTCGGTCAGCTGGGAACCAGTATCGCTCGCCTTCCACCCACTCTGCTGCTGCCATGCCTGCTCCCAAAGCCTCTACGATGCATGCCAAATGCTCAGAGGGCCGCTGTCTCTCAGCCGCCTCACGAACACTGTTCACACATCCCGTCAGACCAGCGTCCGTCGCGGCGTCTCTGATACCCCGCCTTCCCTCCCCCCGCGTGTTCCCCGCAGCAGAGTCGGGGCACACTACTCCGACACTGAGTGCACGACTCCGGCGGCCGCCCGCCGCCCTCGACCGTGCATCACCTGCGGTAGAAAGCTGGGACGTAGAGCTGCTCTTCTTCCCCATGCCGCCGGCGCCCCCGGTTTTGCCGGGGGGCAAGAGGTCACCTCGGTTCACGGCAGTATCACTCAGACTCTCTGCGCACCCACAAACACAGCCGAATCACAAGCGGCTCGACCCACGGCCGCCGCCCGACGCCGACAGCGTCCGCGCAGTCCGAGTAGTGGCTCAGTTTAGTCAAGGGCTAGGTCACTCCATTTGGAACCAACGATGCTATTGACAGGCGGCCCACAACAAAGCGCTACCGATCACGGGACGGGGCGGGCGGGCGGACCTGTGTACCAGATGTTCGTCACCTCAACAGCACACATGTCTCGGGTGCTCTGTTGATATTTGTGAGGAAATATGAGGTGTGGAATGCTCTTGAGAAGATTCAGTTTACGAAGGTATGTTTGTAAAGTTCAAAACCATATCCATATCTTACAGTGCTGAGATTTTGTATAAAAAGTTCGACTAATATCCTAAATTTCTTGTGTGGCAATTTCGACGAACATTTCACAACGGAGGGCGAACGAAGTGGTGCCAGATGCAGTCCAAAAAGAAAAAAGTGACAATGCGACAGATGGCCATGGCTAGTCTTTCAAGTGGCTGGTGGAAACGGGCGGAAGGTAGCAAAACGCGGACCGTTCCACATTCGTCGTCAACAGTGACATTTTGAACAGTACCCTCTTTGGTGTTCCCGAGATTCGTCTACGAAATAGAGCTGTGCACTTGAGAGCCCTACGGCGCTTGCGTTACAGTTAAAACAACGCACCGACATCCAGTCAGCAAAACTTATTTTTTATCTCATACTTGCTTGATGTCTTGCCTTGTGACGACCAAGAGACGATCAAGAATTATGAAAACATAAACGCTCTGAAGGAGCACATAACCCTTGCGTTTTACCTCTTAACGGCTTAACGCCACTTAACACGAACGCGGAGGATTTTGATGGGTTTAACATGTTAAACATACTATGTTGCTATTCTTAGTATTCTATGGTTGTTTGCGTAGTACATTTCTGTAATGTTTTAGCTGCCATCAACCAGCAGCGTGAGTAATGAACTGTGAATAATTGTACGACAGCCCATGCAGAACAAACCTATCAATATCATGAATTATCGGGACAAGTAAAGCACTGTTAGTCATGTTTACAAACCCGCTCATAAATAGTACATGTAGGTTTGTTAATTGCATGTAAACAGCTCTTGATTGGAGCCGGCGGCATCAACCATTGCTAGCTTACCCGATACTCAGCAAATTTGTCAGCGACACTTTGCCCTAGTCGCTGTGTGCGTGTACGTGTGCGTGTGTGTGCGTGTGCGTGTGTGTGCATGTGTGTGTGCGTGTGAGTGTGCGTGTGCGTCTGCGTGTTTGCATGTGCTTGTGCGTGTGCGTGTGCATGTGCGTGTGCGTGTGTGTGTGTGTGTGTGTGTGTGTGTGTACGTATGCGTGTGCGTGTGTGTGTGCATTCAATGCAGGCGGGCAATGCCACTGGCGAACTGACCTGTCTTTTCGGGCACGTCGGCCGACGCGCTGCGTCCCAGCGTGCCCCGCTTGGAGCCGCCGCCGCCACGGTCGCTAGGGGAAGGGGAAACATCGTTACCACCGCTGTCCACGTCGTCGGCGGCGATGAAGTCGGACAGGTCGAACAGGTCGTCGTCCTTGAAGGCGTCACCGAAGTCGTCCGAGTTCTGCTTCGGCAAGGGCGGCTTTGCCGGCTCACTGTTCACCGCCGGCGCCGGCGCGGTCCGGGACGGTGGCGCGCGCACACTAGCACTGGACGCGGCACTGGGGCTGCCTGCCGGCCGCGCCGCCCTCCTGCTGCCCGGCTCGGTGGCTGGAGTCGGTCGAGCGCGCCCGTCACCCGACTGAACACTGGTCACTGGCGGCGGCGCGGCGGCTCCGTTGGCCGGCGGCTCTGGCGCGCGGCGCGCGGCCCGCGGTCCGGCCGGCGGCAGGCAGCGGCGCGGCTGCGTCGGCGGCGCGGCCGGCGTCTGGTGCGCCGCGCCCGGACATCCGAACTCGGGGACAGAGCTGTACTGGCGCAGCGACTTCCGGCGCTCCCGTTTGAAGTCGCGGTCGACGCCGCGTTGTCGGCCGAGCTGGGCGGAGGGCGGCGACCGCTCGGCGCCGGGCTCGGCGGCAAGCCGCTCTGGACCGTGGGCGGGGAGGCGGCGGGCGCCGTCGAGCGACCTGCCGCGGGGGTAACGGCCCACCGTGTGGTTAGACGGCGGCGGGAGGTTGGACGGGGCGTGCGAAGAAAAGGAAGAATGCTGCCAAGCGGTGTGAGCCAACCTAAAAACGAAGAAGCAAAGAAAAGTCAGAGAGATGAGCGATGGGAACCGGCGCACATGTATCCGTGAGATCGAAGTGATGACATCGAGACTGACTGGAGAGTTGACACCGACTCGTGCGATGCACAGGTACAGAGGGACGGTTGATAAGAAGCCATTCAAGCCTGCTACAAGATGTCAACCACTACCAGATCAGTGAGAGCAAGACAGGTGAGATTCAACCCAGCAGGAGCCCACATCGAGAACGCCACCTGCCGGGTGTCGCCACAGATATTCATCGCGCATGGGTTTAAAGACATGGTGACACACAAGGAGCGACAACACCGACGGTGACAGAGTGGGCGCACAGACAGCGATAGAGAGAGAAAGAGAAGCGACGCTCGGATCGGACAGCTACCTGCTCTTGCGCGTTCCGAAGGGCTGCTCGCTCTGGCTGCTGAAGGCACTGGTGACGCTCTCCAGGTCGCTAGCGCTGTCAGCCTCCATCTCCGGCGAGAAGAGGCTGCCGCCGCGGCTGAGCGAGCGGCGCGCCGGCCGCTCCGTCACCGGCTCGGCCAGCTCCGAGTCGCTATGGTTGCCGTACTGGCGGCCGACCGGACGCCGGCTGCCCGTCTGCTGCAGCCGCAGCAGCTGGCGTGCCCGTTGCTCCACGTCCTGGGGCTGCCGCACACACAGGGTGCAACCGATCGTCAGCACAGCCACCCATCGGTGACCGGGCTCAGCAGCATAGCCACCCATCGGTGACCGGGCTCAGCAGCACAGCCACCCATCGGTGGCTGGGCTCAGCTGCACAGCCAACCATCGGTGGTTGGGCTCAGCAGCCCAGCCAACCATCGGTGGCTGGGCTCAGCAGCACGGTCACCCATCGGTGGCTGGGCTCAGCAGCACAGTCATCCATCGGTGACTGGGCTCGGCAGCACAGCCACCCATCGGTGGCCGGGCTCGCCAGCTTTCACAGTGAGCTAGGAAACACCTGGTGCAAGTCGCCAAAATGAAACAGCTTGAATGCATGATGGCTGTTGTCCACTGGATGGTCACAAGGGAAGCTGAGCGCACGTATTCAGTTTAGGGGGTAAAATCTCCTGAGATCAAGTGATCATAAAGTTGCGGTAAATAAATGAACACGCCGGTTAGGCAAACCAGTTATTCAGTGCCGCTATGGTGGACGGCGCGGCGTACAAGACTGACATCATGCATGCACCCATAACACGCGGACGGCTCCAACCAACAGAGGATGTAGAAATTTAGAACCCTTGGTTCAGCACTGCATTCTGAAATAGGCCAATTTTCCGAGTACGAATCTTCTGCCTTAGTCGCGTTTCCACCTATTCAGAGTAAAATTATTCAATATATATCCGGATTGCAATTTGTTTTGCATATTAGACCTTTAGTGATTTACTTCCTAAGAGAAGCTACGTCGAGTTTTGAAGTGCAGTATCCCGACTGAAGGTGCTCTCCTGCAGCCGGATAAAGCGAGAAGATGCGCGGCTCCATGACCGCTTTCTGAAACTCATTCAGCCTTCGCCATTCAGGGCCCAATGCGGCGTCTGATTTGCCTGTCCAGACTTTCGTGGATATTTCTTGAGGCATACAGAGTTTTGTAGGATTATGTAGGCTAACTCAGACGAATTACAATTTATTTTGCATTCTCAAGGTCCTTTCCGCATCAGGGGTGGCGTGTCCGACATTGAAATAAGGGGACAAAGTCTTAACGAAAAGCCCCCATAACGATGGATCCCTATATCTCAGTGAAACTATTTTTCTGTCGTAAAATCAGCGACTGGCCGTCATTATATCTCAGTGAGTTACAATGGCTGCATCAGCTCAGCTGCGTCAGGACGGTTAGATTAATGGTTCGAATCACTTCGGTGCTCACAGTTTGCCCCTGACTGGGAAGGCCTACGGCTGGGATCAGTGGCCGCCCAAGATCAGCAGGGTGGATCGAGCCGAACAGTACGAAACGCAAACTTCTGCCACAAAGTTCTGCCGTTTAGTTGGATTTTGCAATCGATTCGTCGGTCGGCCAGGGTTTACGCATCAAGGCAGTGCTTACGGCGGGCTCGGAGATCAGGAAGTCATCCAATATAGCCACATTTTGTATGTTTTATTTATGCATAAAGACTACTTGAATGGTTCTCGTCGTTGGCTTTGACCTCAAACTACCAAAACTATGTGTAGCAAACCATGTGTGAACCAAAGCCTGCTACTTGTACCCTGAACCGGCAACTCAACAGGGTCACTCCAGTTAAACGGGCGGTTTTGCCTGCGGTCATTTATCCACACGAGACCAATCGAAGGGACGTTTTTCATGTCGTGCGAGGCCACGGGACAGCTGCCCCGTGCCAGGTTGACTCTCTGATCACCAGCCAAAAGACCGCTAGGAGAGCAATTCGCTTTTTCCGAGACTCTCACCTGACGTCGCCAGACCCAAATGAGTCCACTTTCCCCTGGACACGGGGTCGGCCATCGCGGTATATAGGTAAAACATCTGCCGGGGTGCTCCGAGCCGATTATTGCAGACCTTGAATGCGTTTAGATCTAACATCCTCTATTCTCTCAAAACATCTCATAAGGGTCGAAGAGAAAACAGAAAACAAGACACTCGATTTTGCAGCCTGTTAGTGTTAACCAACCGTCAGAGCTTCCGAGTGCGGTTAAAACACGTTAACTTATGTGGAGAGCGTCTGTCGACTCTTGTCGGTTGCCACATGGCGGTATGGTCAGTTGCCACATCAGTTCAAGTCATCATTACCTGGGGTTTATAATGCGAGTGTAGAAAAACTTCACGGACCTCGCCAGGACACTTAAAAAAATAAACTTCCGACCAGGCACGTTTGTAGATGCTAAGCAACAACCACGGACAAGTTTTCCTACCAATCGGACGTAGGGAAGCCCCGAAGAGACCGAGCTACGCCGTGACGTCGGTGTCATTGTCACACTACTGTCGTCTAAACACTGAGATTTGGTTATCGGGATGCCTGAGAGCGAACTCACACAAAATTTGATCGGGCTCGAGCGTAAATGCGCGTGCCCGATGGGCATGAAGCAGCATCAGGTGTGACAACCGCTTCTGACACATCGTAGCACGGACACACATTGTCACCAACCTGGTGGAAGGTGCCTTTTCAGCACATGAGATGCTTACTTTCCAAGCCTAAAGTAGATGGTCCCCTGTTCAATAAGGGCCATCTTGAGTCTACTGTGGCCCTTCCCACACCTGAAAGGACCCTTTCTTGTGAACTTATCGAAGACCCCTTCCTTAACGAAAACGCGTCCTCTCTGAGTCTACGGTGGGCCTTTCCTGATCGGAGATGGGCTATTCCCAGACCTAAACTTGGATTTTTTACCCGAAAATAGTTTTTTTTAGACTTGAGACGAGTCCATCATAAGTTGAAGGCGGAGACAAGGCGGGGGGGGGGGGGGGAGGGACGCCGGGCGCACACATACCTCCCCTTTGATCCAGCCGGACCCTTAAGGCTCCCGGGACCGACGGCCCGGGGCCCGACTGAGGAACTCAGAGAGCTGACCAGAGGCCGTATCAAAGGACTGCGGCCCGCAAATGCCCATCAGAGAGCTTCTCGCGCCGATTGGGGTCCCTGGGAGCAATGATTGGGGTCCCTGGGAGCAATGATTGGGGTCCCTGGGAGCAATGATTGGGGTCCCTGGGAGCAATGATTGGGGTCCCTGGGAGCAATGATTGGGGTCCCTGGGAGCAATGAGGGCCAGCCAGGCGATCGGCGACCACGAATTTCGAAGTCTGCCCAGTGGCGGCCAAGGACCCATTTCTAAAGTCGAGACTATCCTGAGGCCTGTGATTGTCAGTCAGAGGATCATTTACACTGGTCAGGGTTCCTGAGACAATGAGGGACCGCTGTGTTGATCAGTGGTCTCCTTAGTGTTTAATCCACTGGGCCCCTCAAAGAACGCATTCGTCGGTGTGATGATGGCAAGTGAAGAAAGCTGGGAAGATATATAATGGGTCAAATCTGGTGATTTTGGAGAATGCCTTTTCATCGGAGGCCCTTTAGCAGCCTGTGTGGTACCCACACCGCTTCTTACCAAAACTTTAGACTCTCCCCTAGTATAACATGGAGCCTGAGGAATGTGAGATAGGCTCTTTTCGGGCTTAAGTATTTACATGGGCCCTCTTCCTGCATGAGATTTTCCACTTTTAAGTCTAAAATGGGAAATTTCATTATTTAAGAAGGGCCCTATTTGAATCTACGGTGGACCCTATTCGAACCCGAGAGGGCCCTTTCTGTGCTCACGATGGGCCACACCCACAACTGAGACGGACCCCATCTGAGTTTACGATGGGTCTGCCCTGATCAAAACGGGCCCTTTTGAGTCTAAAATGGACCTTTTCAGACCGGAAAAGGACCTTCCCCTGTCTGAAACTGTTATAGGGGACTTACTACCTTCAAATTCACCCTTTCCAAACCTGAGATGGGCACCTGAAATCTCTACACTTACTCTGTTGCCAATAAACGAATCTGTTCCACAAATTCGCCGGAGGCCCATTTGGGCCACCTGAAACTTTGTCTGGACAGTTTTTCGCACGGATACACCGTCACTGGTTTTCTGAGCCAACCATGAGCCCATTCCAGGCCACGGATGGACACTTCCCAGGCCCAAAAAGTGAGATAGGCCTTTTCCGAGCCTAAAGTTCTCCGTTTCTCAGTCTGTGCTGGTTCCCTACCTGACTTGAGGCGAGCCGGTTGCCTTTATGATGAACTCTTTTCAGACATGAGAAGGCGCTCTCTAAGCCTACGATAGACCCTTTTCCCGACCTGAGACGGGCCTTTTTAAAACTTACGATAAGCCTTTTCCAGACCAGAAAGGGACCCCTACCGTGCCTGGAAGTAACATGAGATGGGTGTATTCCCGTCTTGAAATAGGTCATTTCCGGCCTAGGATGGGCCCTTCACGGATACGATATGATTCTCTTCTGAGCTTAAAAAAGCCCAATATGGGCCCTCTATCTTGCTTTGGCAACACCATAAGCAAGTACTATCACATACCCGAGGGCCCTTCTGAGCCACTTAGAAACTAAAAGGGGTAAGATACTTTTTGCCTTGTCTCAAAACATGGGGAAAAGGGTTAATCTGCCCCGCTGCCCCCGCTCCCCTCCCCTCTCCCCGGATACACCGTCACTGCTTCGCATAGTGATCAAGAAATTTGGACGCTAAAAAATTGTTGGGCTCGTAGGAGAATCACTGGAATGCGTCACTATCCTTGGAAGTCCTTAAAGCTATGCTGTTTTTCAAGCGCCCAAAACAGACTGAAGGTGCTCCAGGCTTCCAACTGTGGGGCTTCTCCACACACTCCAACGTCTTCCAAAGCCTTCGGGGCTATTTTCATACTAAAATTCCGGTAAGATATTTGGTACCCTTTAAGACCACAAGCCTATTTTTGCGACGCCGACGACTTCGCGCAAGGTGGAGAGCCTTACATGAGGTTAGCGTTGACACGATTTCCCCGCTCATCGCAATTTAACAATGTTATGCGCTCACACTATTAAAACTCGTTTTAACTTTCTGCTCTAGGAGGCCACACGATCCCAGGTTTTTAGAGAGCGTAGGCCTCAATGCTTGTGCTTGATCGATCCTGTGCTTGACTCCGGTTGTTCCTCGTCTTTTAACCGATGTTCAGCATCATGGTAAGCCCTGTCAATCGCTTGATAGGTGCCATTAGAATTTGTATCTTAGTGTCAATTGCAGTGAAAATTGGGCGATATGCTGCAATATGCAATGAATATATATATATATATATATATATATATATATATATATATATATATATATATAGATTCTGTTGCTTTTCTGGCTGCTTTTTTTACTAATGCAAAGTGCTACACATCGCCGATCTGAGATTCACTTATTGGTCGCTCCAAGAGAGTCAGTTTGAATACTTTTTGCTGATCAGCCGCCGATGATTTGATGTGCTAACTCTTTCATATTATAACTGACATCATTTTTGCATTCCATTAGGCATACGAACATATCGACGCCTATGATACAGATTACAACAATACAAAAGTGCTGTTAAAGCCACCAACATTTCGAAAAGTGTCGCTCTTTTATCCACAATCACAGTGCCAAAAATCAATCCCACTTTCCCAAGTTTCTCCCAAGTTTCCCACTAGGTGCCTAAAGACAAATTAAACCTACTCAACAGTTAAAAGAAGATGGCTGAACATAATTGGTGTGCAAAAAAGAATGTGACTAGGCATTTTCAGATAAAACTTACACGGGGAGACAGACGATGCATTAAGAACAGATTATTTTTTCAGAAAAAACCTAGTGTTTATAGAAAATCGCAAAAAATGTCCCCGCAGGGAATATTGAAACGTACTGGAAACATTGCATTCCGCTTTAGCTTCGTTTGAATGTTGCAACAAAAACCAAATATCGTGATAAAGCAGCAAAAACGTCATAAGCGCGAAGCAAGCAAAACATCATGATAATCAATAAATGTGTGGTCTTCCTCGCTATTTACTATTAGAATACGATGCACCCAATAGGTGCTGCAAAACTGCCTAGCAGGCCGAATCTGTAAAATACTACCATAAAGTATCTGTTTGCAACTGCTGTAAGTGCTTAGAAGGCGACATTTTTGTGTCCGCCGAAACAGCCACGCGCCGTTGTTTTAACATTTGAACCGCTGCTCGCGGTGCCCGAAGCTCTCGGGGTCAGTAGTGAGAAGACAACACAGGTTGGAGGTCACCACGGGGAGAACGAACCAGGTGATCCCTGGCGAACGCCCTGCCGGCGGTGGGGATCTGCGGCAACTGGCGCTTCTTCGGGCTGCCGCTGGGCGTGTCGGGTGTGCCCTGAGGCGACGGTCCCAGCTGGTACGGCCTGCCTCCCATCCTGCAAACAGCGTCTCGTCACTCAGCCGTCGGGCGGTACGCTGGCCTGGCCGCGGCGGTCGGCGCCGCCGTCGCCGCTGGATATTGAGCGCGCTCAGAGCGGCCGTCGGCAGGACGAGCCGCTCCGGCTGGACTCAGGTGGCGGCCGCCGCCAATGGCCGGCAGCGGACAGCAGCCGGCCAGCGCCCGGCTCAGTCGGACCGCGGCGCCGTCAGTCGGCTCTGCCCGCTCACCGTTTGGCCGGGGAGGTGCTGCGCTCCCGGTCCGGCTTGTCCGTGCTGGTGTAGGGCGCCGCCGAGTGGGAGCGGCTGCGGCCCGGGTCACCGTACGGCAGCGGCTCCTGGTGGCGTCGGCGGCCGGTCAGGGGCGGACCGACCGGCTAGGATGGGTGCCAGGCCGTGTCAGCACGGCACGGACGAGCTCGAGCTGAGGCTGCGAGCCAATGGTGCCGGCTCTGCTCCCGACGACAGTTGACAGTTCTCAGCACGACATCAGAAGGAATGCCGTTCTGACAACACTTAGATAATCCACGTGTTTTTACGCTGTGAGTACGGCATCGGTAGTGTCGAAACTGATGTTGAATACCAACCCACATAATTAAGCATCTCAATGCTCTCAATAAGATGTCTGCACTCATCTGATGTAGCCCACTACCCGTCCCAGCCGGCCTCCGTCGCGCCCTCACGCGTCTGTTTTATGATGATAACGCGGATTGCACTATCGCGTAGCTTTAGCGACCGCACCGGTCAAGGCGCCGGCCTGGAGCAGAGTCCGGCCTCCTGTGCGGAGATAAGCGCCGACGCCGACCGTCACCTGACCGGCATCGCCGCTGGTCGCCGGAGCTGGGCGCACCTGTCGGCCGGCGCCGCGGTGGTAGAGCATCTCGTCGCGCGTGACGACGGTGCCAGAGCGGGAGCGGTGGCCGCCGGCGGCGCTGAAGTCACGCCGGGCGCGTCGCTCGCCGCGCTCCGACACGGGCGGGCTGCACGAGCTGCTGTCGGCGCCGGCGCCGCGTCGGCCGTCCTCGGCGTCCGCGTCCGACGTGTCCGACTCGGAGAGGCGCGACGTCGTGCTGGGCGGCGACAGGTGATCCGCGGAGGCCGTCGTCGACGCCCGGTCAAAGTCTATGTACATTCCGTGCCGCTGCGGGCGGGCGGCAGTGAGGTCAGGCCATGGGTCAAGTGGCAGGGCGCAGCTAGACGGCGCACTGGAAGAACGCGACGAGGTAGAACGGAAGACGGCCCGGCAGGTGGTGGCTTTCAATGGCCTTGCCTCGCCATTTTGACAGCATCTCGAGGTGCAGCGAGTTGGCGGCATTCAATAAGAACAGCGATTTTGGAAAAAAGTAATGTTGCAAGACTCAAGCATCGAAAAACAATAAATTATGCACGGCAAGCCAGGAGATGGCAACCCTCCCAGCACAACACGGATAGCCCACAGCCCAGCGCTGTAGCTGCTGTTTGACGGTTGGACTACGCCTGGCCTCAGGGCAGTCCAGACCGTCCGAGGCTCTGCTGTCGCGTCACTGGCCGGCTCACCGTGTGCAGGTTAAAGTCCTCGGGGATGGTGAGCGGGAACCACTCTGGCTCGTCGTGCAGCGGGTGGGTGGCTAGCTCCACCAGCACCTCGCCCAAGAAGTCATTCACGCCGAACCGGTCGTAGTCCCAGACGGTGACCTCCAGGTGGCGTGCGCGCAGTTCCGAGCGCCGGATGGTCGAATAGATCAGCGACTGGCCCCAGCGCGGCTCGAGCGTGTTGGCCAACGTCTTGGTGCGCCGCTTGGACTTCTCACTGTCGGCGCAGGGTGCAGCGTCAGAGGCAGAGGCGCAGGCTGCAGCGTCAGAGGCAGAGGCGCAGAGTGCAGCGTCAGAGGCGTCCGAGTCGGGCACGCTATCCGCCGCTTGACCACTCTATGGAAGGCGCAAAACCAGACACCCACGTCCAGCTTAATGACATGGCCAATAAATGCTTCGGCATTACGTCCGCAGCGGCAAAGACGGGTGGCTGTCCGGACAGTCTCGGTGGCTGTCCGGACAGTCCGGACAGTCTCGGTGAGGGTCGAGACGCGGCCGGGACGGACCGCCGCCGCCGTCTACCAGCGACCGTCTCTGGCCGCCGCACG